AGGCATATCACACTGGTTAGTATCCACAAATAAACTGACAATCATACCTGATTGGTTAGGGAGAGCATTCAAGAAGCTAGGACTGGACTGTTTGCCAAAGACGACCGAGTCTGGTGTCATTTCCTTACAAGGGAACTTTTGTAAAGTGTTCATGGTAAAGTGATTATTGGTTAGATGTTGCTGTTAACTTTACTATGGATCATATCATTTATTGTAGAATAATTGTTATCTTCATCATATGTCTTATTCCACCTACATGGAGTGGCTTGACCTTCTCTATCTAGATAATATTGTCTTTTGAAGAATGAGCTTCCAGATCTCCCATGACCTGAAGCCTTGTCCTTACTTCAACTCGTGCCAAACAATCTCAAATCAACTTTCTATTATCCTAGCACCACACTTAAGTTCCAAATGATATGCTCATCTTAGTTTCTTTCTCAGTCATTTCACTATCTCAATTTATTTTCTGTTGTTTACGTATTCTATGGATAATTTTCATTTTATGGTATCCAAAAATTGCAATATATGAATACCATAGTTGTCAAGGCGACGCCTAGGCAACAAGGTGCCTTTGGAGGCTCGCCTTGCCTAATCACCAAACAGTTTTGTATGTTGTGTTATAAAATAGTTTTATATCTTTAATTTTTGGGGATTATAATTATAAAATAGACATTATTGAACTAAAATATTCATTTTGTGTGTTTATATACTAATTTCTTTTTATTAATTTCTTATTTGTTAGGGTTTAATCATCACAGACATTACTAACTTCTGTTTTGAACCCTCAAAGACTTCAAAACCTAACCAATAAGTAAGGAAGAACTTAAAATTTTGTCTAATCAACACATTTTCTTCCTATAACAAAAACAAGGGTTCAGCCCCTATATTTTTTCAATTTCCTTGTCTTTCCTCCTTTTCTTCTCATGAATATGTTGGTTTTCTATACTTTAACATGAAGTTTATACTTTTATTTGGAAATTATGGATAGTTATTTAGGAACTATGATTATAGAACCTAGGGAACTACCCTAGGATATATGTATTTTACTTAAAAAAAAATTCATTGCCTAGGTGACTAGGCGACAAGGCTTCCCCCTGTCGCCTAGCCTCGCTTCGCCTTGGTGCCCTGAAAAACTATGATGAATACAACCATACAGAATTGAAGTTCATGTATTGGGGCCATCCAATGTGCCACCATCTTACATGTCTTATGTTAACAAGGTGCTGTTGGTGGACTCTGTTATGAATCTTATGATCCTTACTGATTAAAAGCTTTAGATTTCCTTTTTGTAACTGTTTTAGTTACTTTGTGTCTGATATGCATATGCCTAGTTTTCTCACTATAAGCATAGTTTTCAGGTGGTGGTTATGACCCATGCCTATGGTAATCGTTCTGGTGTAAGATATATGACTGGTGGCTTGAAAGTTTACTACATACCGTGGAGGCCATTTCTAATGCAGAACACGCTACCGACATTTTATGGGACACTTCCTATTTTAAGGACAATTCTTATTCGTGAAAGGATATCATTGGTGCATGGACATCAAGCCTTCTCAACTCTTTGTCATGAGGCTTTGATGCATGCTCGCACTATGGGATACAAAGTTGTATTTACTGATCATTCTCTTTATGGATTTGCTGATGTAGGAAGCATCCATATGAATAAGGTTCTGCAATTTACTTTGGCAGATGTGAATCAGGCAATATGTGTTTCTCATACAAGCAAGGAAAATACAGTATTGCGTTCAGGATTACCCCCAGAGAAGGTCTTTGTAATACCAAATGCTGTGGATACAGCTATGTTCAAACCTGCCCAAACACGACTCAGTTGTGATGAAATTGTTATAGTTGTGATAAGTCGATTGGTTTACCGGAAGGGTGCAGATTTGCTTGTTGAAGTCATTCCTGAGGTTTGCCGCTTTTACCCAAATGTGAGTCATTTGAACCATATGACTGCCTTTCTGTTTTAACTTTTTTGTTGTACAATGTTGGATTTATAATATGTTATGTAAAAGTGACAAGTTGTGGATTATAGTTGAATGATATGACATAAAAATGTGACATCATATCTATGATTTGTTCTTTTGCATAACCACCTCTTCAAAATTCAGGATGCCAACAAGTTGATTTTGGTTGAGACTTCTCAACCCAACCTCGACCAAAAGCACTAAACTGAACCTGGCCTGCCCTAACTAAATATAATAGGTTTACTGAACCTGACATGTCCCACACACAAACCATTATTCTTAGCAAAGACTATGTCTACAGTTTTTTCATGCCAACAGGACAGATTTGGTGACTGCCAGCCTGAACCTAAACCTGACCCAAAACTTGATTAATACTGACTCGAACCTGATGTGATAGGGTCATGTCAAATGGTAACTAGATACAGATAATCTCATTGTCTAAAGTGTTTGTCTCATTAACATTTTGGCCCATTTAATAGGGGCCATTACTTAGTGTAGTTGTAAATTATTGTGCCATCAAGCATGAAAATGAGAGTTCAAGTATGAGAGCAGCCACTTTGTGCAAAAAAAAAGTGCCAAAGGTTAAGACATAGGACTGTGTCCAGTACATCCCTCCCAAGACCCCAGATAGCTGGGACCAACATTGGGCAATGCCCTTTAATTGGGGACCATTAGTCCAGTTGCCTATGTACTGATATTGTAGAGGCAAGGACGCAAGGTTGCAAAGTCCAATGTTCTATGTCATTTATTTTGCCTAGGTTTACTTGGAACTTACTTAGTAGTTCTAATTACTTGTTTTTTGTTGTTATATTCTACTTTTTCATGAAGATATTCTGTTGGAAAGAAACAATTTAATGGTTGACACTAATGGAAACCTTTGTATCCCATAGTGTCTCACTTTAAAAATTGTGTCAAGGTCCGTTTCATAATTGGAGGTGATGGGCCAAAAAGAGTGCGGATTGAAGAAATGAGAGAAAAGAACTCACTTCAGGATCGAGTTGAAATGTTGGGAGCTGTTCCCCATGCTCAAGTACGGTCTGTCCTAATTTCTGGTCATATATTCTTAAACAGGTAAAGTAATGGAATGTTTCCTTTATGTTAACTCTCCTTTCACTTATTGAACTTCACTTTCGTAGAAATTTGGCTTCTTGAAAAATTCCACCATTATCAAAAAAAAAAAAAAAAGAAACTTAAGTGATATTTCACATGATACCATTGTAATTCAAGGCCTGTTTGGATTTCTTTTTGGAACCTTCTTATTTGATAATAGTGAAATTAGTAATGATATTTATTAGATCCAGACAGAGTGGCAAAATTTTATGCATTAATGAGGTTCTCGATAAAATATTTGGTTATGTAACCTATACATATTGGCCTAAAGGTACATATGACTTCCTCATTGATTGATCTTGTTGTTATTCTCCATACAAGAGGCAATGCATGGTTTCAAATGTCACGACACTTCGCTAATGTCGCCCGACATATGTCGGTGTCGAGGCTCACCGACATGAAAATGAGTGGTAATATAAAAATTACACTATTTTGGTCGACATTTCCTATATTTCGGAAATGTCAACCAAATCGGTCCAAATAACCAAGAAAAAGACAATTTTTCCTATTATGTCGACAGACATGTCAACTAACGTACAACAATAGAATAATGTTTTACAACAATAAAATGTAATGTATTATAAATTTAGTATTAAATTTATTAAATTTTATACTAAATCATAATTTATTATAAATTTAGTATTAAAAATCAGAATAAATTCATTAAGTTTTACAAGAAATCAGAATTTATTAGAATCTTAATACTAAAAAAGGGGGAGAATCAGTTTATTAAATTTATAATAAAATATAATGTATTATAACTTTAATATTTAAAAAATCAGAATAAATGTATTTTTATTTACTAGTGTGAAATAAATATATTAGAATTTATAATAAATCGGAATTAAAAATAAGAAAAAAATCAGAATAAATGTAAGACAATTCTACCAGATGGTTCTCACACAATTTGGACTGAGAACTAAGGCTTTTAGATCAGATAATGCCAGAGAGTACTTTGAGAAAGACCTGATCACGTATCTCTTAGAAGATGGTGTAGTTCATCAGAGTAGTTGTGCATATACACCGCAACAGAATGGAGTTGTTGAGAGGAAAAACCGATACATTGTGGAGGTGGCAAGGAGTCTTATGGTGTGTGCTTCAGTTCCTGTGCAGTTCTGGGGAGATGCAATTCTTACAGCCGTGCATTTGATTAACCGTGTTCCTTCACGGACTTTGGGGTTTAAGGTGCCATTTAGCCTTCTTTTTCCAAATGGAGAGATATTTCATATACCTCTGAGGGTTTTTGGTTATGTTTCTTTTGTTCATATTCTTGGCCATTGTCGCAAGAAATTGGATCCTAAGGCCAAGAAATGTGTTTTTCTTGGGTACGCCCAGAACCAAAAGGGGCATTGCTGTTATGACCTAGTGTCGAGGGGCAGATTTGTCATTATAGATGTTACCTTCTTTGAATCCGCATTCTTCTTCTAATGTGGTTTTCTTTAGGAGGAGAGTTTTGGGGGGAGAACTCAATCTGTTCCTCTTCCTGTTTCTATGGTGCCTCCATCAGTTCAGCCAGCATCTGCACCTCCAGTTTCATTACCTGAGCCACTACGGGCAACCTCACAGAAATATCAACACCGACAGATGATGGTTGACTCCACACATCCTCAGCCCACACCACTCTCTGTTAGTCCTTCTGAAACTCTAGATTCGACAGATACAGTTCCAGGTATTCCTCTTGAGCCTGAGCCTGCTATATTTTCCGATGATAATGTTTCTGTCCGTAACACTATTGTTGCAGCTGATCCCACTGACATTGATCTTCCCATTGCACTTCGTAAGGGGAAGAGAAAGTGTACAACCCACTGCATTTCACATCATTTTTCCTACAGTGCCTTATCACCCTCCTACTATGCTTTTCTTTCTTCCTTGGATTCTGTGTCTATACCCAGGAATGTTACTGAGGCTCTCTCCAAACCTGAGTGGAAAACAATCATGCAAGATGAGATGGATGCTTTGGTCAAAAACCAAACTTGGGAAATAGTTGATCTCCCCCCAAACAAGGAGATAGTCGGATATAGATGGGTATTCATAGTGAAGTATAAGGCCGATGGCAAGATAGAGATGTACAAGGCAAGGTTGGTAGCAAAAGAGTATACTCAGACCTATGGTGTTGATTATCTAGAAACCTCTGCACCAGTAGCTAGGATGAGTTCAGTTTGTATCCTTTTATCTCTAGTATCCACCTATTCATGGCCCTTGTTCCAGCTTGATGTCAAAAATGCCTTCCTCAATGATGATTTACAGGAGGAGGTATATATGGACATTCCAACAGGCTTTTATGAAAATGTTGGTAAAGGAAAGGTGCGCAGACTCAGAAAATCTCTGTATGGACTAAAACAGTCACCTAGGGCTTGGTTTGACAGGTTCAGAGGGGCACTCATTCGTTTTGGATACACACAGACACAGTCTGATCACACCCTCTTTGTGAAAATGAGAGATGCTCTGGTGTCAATTCTGATTGAGTATGTGGGTGATATAGTGGTGACAGGAAATGATCTGGAGGAGATTGATGATCTCAAAAAATCATTGCAGCAAGAATTTGATATCAAAGATCTTGGTGAGATCAAATACTTCTTAGGGATTGAAGTTGCAAGATCCAAGCATGGGATCTTCATTTCATAGAGAAAGTATGTACTTGACCTACTGTGGGAGACTGGGAAACTGGGGACCAAACCAGCAGACACTCCTATTGATCCAAATCACATAATTAATGGTGTGGGTGGTGAGTTGGTAAAGGATGTGGGGAGATATTAAAGAATGGTGGGTCAATTGCTGTATTTGTGTATGACACGACCAAATATTTCTTATGGTGTCAGTATTGTGAGTCAATACATGCATGCACCTCGGGTTCAGCACTGGGAAGCTATTGAGAGAATACTTGCATATATGAAAAAGCACCCTGGCAGAGGCATTATTTTCTCAAATCATGAGAATCTGAAGCTAGAATCCTATACAGATGCAGACTGGGCAGGATGCTTAGATGACAGGAGGTCTACATCAGGAGTGTGTACCTTTGTAGGTGGAAACTTGATCTCCTAGAAGAGTAAGAAGCAAGCGGTTGTGGCA